GGCCGCGCCCCGAGCCCCGCGCTCCAGTTCCGCCCTCTGCCACCGCGGGGGCACCGGGGGTGCCCTCCGGGGGTGTCCACAGGGGTGTCCCCCGGGAAAATGAGGCTACGGATGGAGCTAATTGTCACTGCTCATAGGGAAAGGTCTCAGGAACCACGGGGGTGTCAAGGGGAGCCCCCACATCATGGCTAACCCCTCTTGCTCCTCTAATTAAGGCTGCAATTAAGGCAATCAGCAGTTGATGGGATTCCTGGAGAAGCTCTGGAGGGAGGAGATGAAGCACAGCAATCCGCTGGAGCTGGGAAGAGTTTTGGTGGACAAATACACACAGACACAGAGCCCTTCAATACAGTTCATGTTTAATTTGGACGTTGATCGCTCCACAAAACACCTTCTCGGCCCCGGCTCCCTCTGATCCCACAGGGACACCCTCTGCCTCCTCATGGACAACCCTCTGCTCCCACACGGACACCCTCTACCTCCTCATGGACAACCCTCCACTCCCACACGGACACCCTGCTGCAGCCAGCAAGGTTCAAGAGACACCACAACCTCTTCCAAGCACAAACACCCCATTTCTTACCTCTGCCCCCCAGTCTGTCCTCTCTCACCACACCACGACATACATAACATCTCTCCTCAGCTCAAACAAGTCAAAGAAAAGGAAAACCACAGCTAAGGCTTTGAGGAGGGAAACTCCAAGCACCAACAGCCCCTCTGTGAATCTCTTTGCTCCAGGACCTGCTCTGCACTTGCCACACATGAAATCCAGATAGCTCTGGATGTCACCTGAGGTTGGTTTCAGGCGGGAAGCACAGGCAGAGAGCAGGATACTCCTCCCACACCTTTCCTGCAACATATCAAGTGTCAAAGAAAAACTTCAGACGTTTTTTGGGATAGTTAAACACCCCTAGGACCCTCTTAACTCAGCTCCTGATGACAACCAGGGTTAATCCAACTAAACCACAACTGAAATCCAAGTGTCCTGCTGGCACTGCCAGCCCTGGGAGCACAGGGAGACCCAGTGCCACCACCAATATTGCACAGACAGCTCTGGAGGGCTGGGAAGAGCCGTCGGAGCTGAGTCCCTGCACCCACACAGCACCTGGGAGGAGGCTTCACCCCCACACTTGGTCACAGCGGAGTAGCACCACTGCTTGTCACTCTAAAACCAGGACCTCTGCCAGCACCATCCATGAGGAAACCCTTCTCCTCACTGCCAGAGGGGCTGAGTTTCTCCAAGAGCAGAACAAAATGGGAATGAACTTCCCAACTGCTCTGCTAAGCCTCAAATTATCTCCACATCCACCTGCAACAGCCAAGGCACCAGCACACGCTCCCTGGAAGGGCCAAGTCTCCCCCTTCTCCCCACAGCACCTCTCTCCACGTGTACTGGGAGAAGGATTTATCCACGGAGAACAGCAATGCGTGAGGCGTGTGGATTTCGCATCATCTCCCAAGACCTCCCTGACCACACAAAGATCCCAGCTTGGAATAGAGGAAAGGGGCTCCCCAAGCCCTGAATCCTTCCTCATTAAGGCTTAAAGAAGCGATCCAACTGCTGCCAAAAGGAAGGAAGTTAGTTAAAAAGAAGCAAACCCGAAGCAGCTCACACCAGGCACACGGAGGCTTCGCTGCCCTCAGCAACCACCACAGCCTGTTTGGAGGGAGTTGGGTTGTAAAATAGCCAGAAAAAGGCAAACTAAACTCTCACAAAAAAGCCCCATGGGTGGGACTGACGTGGTAAATACACAACTGAGGCCAAGTTTTAAAATGTCTTTAAAAAAAACAACACCCCACACGCGCATAAACACACACACACACACACGCTTTGGCACACAGAGCAGTAAGGATGTCACTTGGAACATTCAGAGTCAGAGGGAAGCTGCTGGAAAGGGTTTTTGTTGGTTTGGTTTTTTTTTTTAAACTTGTTTTCTTACTTTTTCCTTGTAAAAAGGTACCAAGCAGAGGTGGTAGTGAAGCAGGAAGGGTGAGTACAAAGGCTGAGTGGTCCCAGGGTGACACTGCTCAGCACTTGTGCTCTGGATACTTTCCCAAAGCTTAGCTGGATACATAACATGGATATAAAAACACAGACATTCCTGGTTTTCAATGTGAAAACGGTAACATGGAATCGAGTACTTGTGCATTTGCCATTGGATCCTTTGGAAAAGGAACCATAAAAATAGATATTTTTTTTTAATAATAAAACTCTTTTTTTTGTCTTTTTTTGTCTTTTTTTAACCCTTAACTTAAGTAAAGAGCAAATATACACCTACAAGCAGAGTTCAGATCCACTTTACTGAGAGCCTGGAAGTCCATACATCAAATTAATTCCCAGTGGCATATCCAGACACTGGAACAGCTCCCAGCTCCAAAGGGCTGGTGTTCCTGAAAGATCTGCAGCTCCAGCTAACCTCATTAGCCAGCACAGACTCATTCCAGCCTTATCTCAGCCAACACTCCCCCAATAGACTCTGCAGCTGAGCCTCACACACGGGACTTGGCTCTGGGAGCATCAGAGCTGGAATTCTGGGCAACAAACCTGAATCCTGGTGATTTCCAACCCATGTCAGGCTGTAACAAGGAAAATCTAAGCCCTGAGCTCACATTTCCTTATTCCTGAGGCCAGAGTACTGATTCCAGCTACTGAGAAACAGCTTCCAGAGGAGAGCCGGGAAGAACCTCAGTGACAGAGAAACTAGCTGTGCAACAAGAAAGTGCATTAAAGGTAGCTCAAAACCAGAGTAAAGATCAAATGGCCACTCGACAGGAGGGAGAGTCAAGCTCCAGCAGCTGTGCTCCTCGGGCTGGGGGAGTTCACATCCAGGCTCTCCCTCACAAGTCCAAGGGGCAGGAGAGAAGCGTGCATTCCCGTGCTCCCACAGGGACACAGTTCTCCTGGCAGGCCATGCCCTCCTGCCCAGGTTGCTTCTGGGAGGTATCAGTTCTGGGCAGCTGTCATCGGAACTCGTAGATAGGAGCACTGTGCTCGGGAACGTGAGTTAAATTCAATGACTGATACCTGGGAGAGAAGGGAGAGATGGAGGAGAGGGTTACATGGAGCTCCTGCTTAGCAGCCACAGAGCAGACAGGGTGCTGGCTGTCATCTCTCCCCCTGTACAGTTTCAGAGGGGTTCATTCATCCAACACCCACTTCCCACGGCATCAAAATCCTGTCAGGATTTGCTCCTCATTGTTCTCTACAACTCCCTGACAGGAGGCTGGAGCCAGGTGGGAGTTGGTTTCTTCTGACAGGATTTTAGGAGGACTTGGCATTGCTTCTCATTGCTCTCTACATCTCTGTCAGGAGGCTGAAGCCAGGTGGGAGTTGGTCTCTTATCCTAAAATCCTGTCAGGATTTGGCATCACTCCTCATTGATCTCTGCAACTCCCTGACAGGAAGCTGGAGCCAGGTGGGGGTTGGTCTCTTCTCGCATGCAACTAACGATAGGACAAAGGGAAAAGGACTCAAGTTGTGCCAGGGGAGGTTCAGGTTGGTTATTAGGAAAAATTCCTTCATTGAAAGAGTGGTCAAGCTCTGACACAAGCTGCCCATGGCAGTGGTGGAGTCACCATCTCTGAAAGTGTTCAGAAAATGAGTGGATGTGGCACTTAGGGTTCAGTGGGAATGGAGGTATTTAACCAAAGGTTGGACTTAATTTTGGAGATATTTTCCAACCTTAATGATGCTGATTCCTACTCCAGTGCCTCTAATGCAGCCAGGCAGCATTCGAGGTGGGCTGTGAGGGGGTTTTTTGGACACCCTTTGAAGTTCAAGAACTTTCCTGTTCAAACAGTGTTTGCTACAAGTGCAAATTACACTCAGGTCTTTCAAAGCCCAGCTGGAGGGGATGTGTCTGAAAGCCTCCTGCTTCCTTCCCTCCTCCTGAGAGTTTCCAGCAACCCCACAGCTCCACTTGCTGTGCATGATAATGATCCAAGGGAAAAGAGCTCTCCACAGTACTTGTCTCCAATAAGAAACCCACCAATTAGCTTTGACTGTTCCCTTGTCTTATGGCAACACCCCAAGGACCTTGGCATACAAAGGTGTTAGAATACAAAGCACTGGCCTGACAAGATTTCTCCCCAAAAGAAGCAACAGCTAAGCTGTTACATGGGAGAAAGCCACAGCACATCTCCAGACCTTGTACCTCCCCTGCTCCACCTTGACAGCCCAAATTCCACCCCCTGTGCCAAAGGGGCAGCACTTTATACCACATCAATGGGATGTACCAGCCTGCTCTGCCCAAGCACAGCCCACACCCCCTCCCTTCTGCCCTGAGGTGCAGCCACCAGCCTGAACCTCCTGCCTGGACACTCCCAAGGCTGTGGACAAACAAAGCAGGAGAGGAATCACAGCTCGGTTTGGGTCCTAAGGAAGCAGGAAACTTCCTTACCATTCTGAACTCCTATGGTAGTAATAGCCCTCTATAGATGCTGCTGACTTCTGGAAGCAGATGTAATAGAAACCAGCAAAGGAAGCACCACTGATGTCCTTGATGGTGTGATCTGGGACTAGGAACTGTTCCTGCACACAAAACACAGGCTGTATTTTATAATGCCCATCAAATATAATCCCACCCTATCCCAATCTGCCATCCCAAACCAAATATTGGCACCCACTAACACAAAACCATTCCTGGCTGAGCTCTGCCTGCACTTGCAGCAACCCAGACCAGAGACCAGCATGTTCCTTCAACCCCTGCCACAGGCATCCCACAGAGAAGCAGATAACTGAGAGCAGAACCAGTTTTAAGAGGGCATGAGATGAGTTTCAACACCTGCCCCCTGCAAACAGAAGCCAATTGCAAAATCAGGAATCAGAGCCAAAGAATGAAGGGAAGGCTCCAGGGAGACCTTACTGCAGCCTTTAAATACCTGTGGGGGCTTCTGAGAAATCTAGAGAGAGACTTTTTTTCCAGGGCCTGTAGTGACAGGACAAGGGGGAATGGCTTTATACTCAGAGAGGGTAGGTTTAGATCAGGTATCAGGAAGAAATTCTTCCCTGTAAGGGTGGTGAGGCACTGGCACAGGTTGCCTAGAGAAGCTGTGGCTGCTCCATCCCTGGAAGTGTTCCAGGCCAGGCTGGATGGGGCTTGGAGCAACCTGGGCTAGTGGAAGGTGTCCCTGCCCATGGCAGGGGGTAGAACTGGATGAGCTTTAAGATTGCTTCCAATCCAAACCAGTCTATAGTGATTCTGTGATGATCCCAGCTAAGAACAGATGTGCAGACTGGACAGTTTGCATCAAACACATAGGTCCTGCACAGGGACTGGAGACACCAATTCTCTCATCCTCAGCAGCATCACCAAGCAAGATTTTCCTGTTGTGTTTTCAGCCATGACTGCAGCCCTTAAGGACACAATTATCTGGCTAGACACGAGTCACACTGGAACTTGCAAGTATGGTGGGTTTTGGGGTTGGCAAGGTGAGAGTTTTCATTAAACCATCATAGCTGAAAAAGGTTTCAGGCACCACAAGCCTCTGTCAGTGGCTTGCAAAAGGTTCATCAGAGAAGGAGACATGCAGAGTTTACCTTCCATCTCATGAAGACATAGTCCCCATTTTTCAGATCTTCATAATCAAAATCATCAGAGTTAAATGTTTTTGCATACTGGTAAAAAGCCTGAAACTTTCCCTGAAACAAAAAAAAAGAAAAGAAAAAAAACCCAGGATGCTTATTCCAGGAGTAGAGCTTCTTTCTAGTGCCAGCTGCTATTTAGGAGGGAAAACCTGCTACACAACAGGAGCTCCTTACCCAAGGGGCTGCTCTTCCCTTGGAGTAGTGCTAAACACCCACCCTAGGACTAGCACAGGGGATTGCCAGACACCCACAGACACATCCAGCCTGGCTGCAGAAGTTCCTCTGCACTTGCAGAGGAAAATATTTCAACAGGAACATAATTAACATCAAAGCCTGGCAAACAACAGCAAGGACAAGGCAGGGGGAGACAATCAGGTGGCTGCTGTGGCCAGAGAACAGCAGCAGGTACACCCTGAGCAGAGACACAGGTACCAACGGCTCTGCCTGTGCTCAGGGGCATCTCTGTCCCCTCATCCGCTCCATTTTGTAATAAATCTCCAAAAATAAAGAGTGTGTTCTCCTAGAGGGGGTCAAAAGATGGGTCAAGCTCCTGCTCCCTTCCAACCCTGTGGCCAGGAAAACAAGACATCCCCTCCCTCATCGTGGACCACAGCCTGCTGAAGGGCTGCAAAGATCCCAGCGAGGAAAGGAAGGAGACATCCAAAAAGGAGAGGTTTCCGTGCCTTTCAGAGTAGCTCTTGCATGGGCCCACACTGCATCTTTCCTCCAAACCAGCTGCTGAGGCCCCATCTGGCCCAGATTTATTACTTACCCAGTGTTTACGATCCACATCCTCATCAGCGTCCCACTTGCGCGTTAGGAATGGGTGTTTCTTACTGATTATCTCACCCTCAAAGAACGTGGTGAGGGTTGGGTACTCCTGGGAGATGAGAGACAAATGTGAGGGCAGAATTGTCACCTACAGACCCAAAGTCAAATGCACACAGAGCTCCACACACTCAGCAAAAAGCATCTTGCAGTGAGAGGTCTGTGCAATCCGAGGTTGCTGCTCCCATCCCTCCAAGCCACACACTGACTTGTCCTGCCCCACACTTCTCCAAGGCTGCCTCCTCCACACCCACAGGCTTCACCCTCTTCTTCCAGCCTCTATCCTCACTTCATGAAGCCAGAAGAAGCTGTGTCAGAGCAGAAATGCGGTGAAGGGTCTGGAGCACAAGTTCTATTAGGAGCAGCTGAGGGAGCTGGAGGGGCTCAGCCTGGAGAAAAGGAGGCTCAGGGAGGACCTTCTCACTCCCTACAACTCCCTGACAAGAGGGAGGAGCCAGCAGGGTCAGGCTCTTCTCCCAGGTACAAGCAATAAGAAATGAGGAAAAAGCCTCAAGTTGCACCAGGGGAGGTTAAGTTTGGACATTAGGGAAAATTTATGCACTGAAAAGGTGGTCCGGCATTGGCACAGGCTGCACAGGGCAGTGTCACTGTCCCTGGAGGTGTTCAAAGAACACGTGCATGTAGCACTTGGGGACGTGGTTTAGTGGTGGACCTGGCAGTGCTGGGTTAGTGGTTGGACTTAATGATCTCAGAGGGCTTTTCCAACCTAAATGATTCCATAAAGCTGCCAGCTGGACAATCACCAGTCCAGCTGGCGGACAAAAACCACAATGACAGCCAGCGGATACCCTGTAGGTGCTGAGTGACTGTCACAACCCCCTTGGACTGGGTTAACCATCCCATCAGGGACGAAGGTGCTCCTCTTCAGCTCTGCATTGTCAGAGAATGAGGAGAACAAGGCAGGGAGTAGACTCAGCTGGGACAACTGTCTCCTAATGCTTCTTCTAACACATGGTGACTTGCATCCAAAAGCAGCACTACTTTGGGAGACAGCTCTGGCCAACACCAAAAGCAGTTGTGGGAGACAGATGGGGAGAGAAGATACAAGGTGAGAAAGTTGGGACTGTTAAGCCTGGAGAAAAGAAGGTTGTGTGGAGACCTCAGAGCAACCTTCCAGGCACTGAAAGGACTATGGGAAGCTGGAGAGGGACTCTGCATCAGGAACTGTAGTGATAGGACAAGGAGAAATGAGGATAAATCGAAAGAGAGAAATTTAGATTAGATATTAGGAAGAAGCTGTTTCCTGTGAGGGTGGTGGCACAGGTTGCCCAGAGAAGCTGTGGCTGCCCCAACCCCGGTAGTGTTCAGTCAGGTCAGATAAAGCCTTGAACAACCTGGTCTGGTGGGAGGTGACCCTGCTCAGGGCCCAGACCTTAGTATTCTATGATTCTAAAAGTATAAAGCTCTGACTACTCAGGGCCTGCTTTATTTCCTTTCAGCAACACACCAGCACTAGCAAAGTGCCCTAAGCTGGTTGCAGGGTCACAGCTGGTGCTGCTCAGACTTTAAGGGATGCCAAATGAGCTTCCCTCACTCAGGACACTCACTGAGACCTTTGACAAGTCAAGAATTAAAGCTATAAACTACTCACTGCTCAAATCCCCTTCCAGTTTCCAGCAGCAGCTTCTCCCACCCCACCACCAACAAAACCCCTTAACACAGCACCTTCCCACGTTAACACTCACCTCGGTAAGGCCTTTAATCTTCAAGTATCCACACAGGTACGAGTTTTCCATATCCACATGCTAGAAAAAGAGCGCAAAGTCCAACCATAAAAACAAGGTACCGAGGCAGATCCAAAACACTTCCTAACCCTTCCTAGGAGCATTTCAGCCGGTACAGAAAATCCAGCTTCCTGCCTAGCTTAAAATACAGGTTATCTCTTATGAACTAGAAGGGTTAAAGCGAGGCGGACGCTGTCGCAAGGGGCAAGCAGGGTGGCAACGACCACCGCGGCC